GGGGGGGGGGGACTAAGTCTTGTCATCTCTGGCCCCCCTCCGCGGGGCCTTTATTTTCGGCCCCCTGAAAAGTTTTGCAAGGCGAGCTCTCGGCCTGGAGACTCGCGGCTGCCGCAGGCGCAGAAAGCCCCGCCGAACTTCGTGGGACTGGCTTCCCGGGGAAGAATCCACCACGCCGGGGTCGGATGGCCAGAGAGGCGGGCCCACAGGCAGAGGAGGCGCGCGGGGATCGAGTGGAATGGAGCCGTCTTGGGGTCCTGCGGGACGGGAAGCGCTGCGCCCGCCCCGAAGCCGTTGGGATAATAACTTGGCATGGGCGGACGTGCCTTTCCGCCCTTCTGTTAAGCACAGTGTGCACTCTCACATGCGCGTGTTTCCCCCCGCTTGCAATAAACGCCTCCGCTAACTGGGTCGTTTTTTGTAAACGGGCTGGTAAATCTGGGTTATTGTGCAGCCCTTGAAAGCTCCAGTTTCGGCCCGGCTGACGCGTCTCTTTCGGTTGTAAACGGAGCGCACATCCGAAGCTGTAAAAATGGAGTCAACACACACACACAATACCCTTTTAAAAAATCCAGATCCGCGCCTCTGGCAATACCGGGTTTCCGGCACGAGTCCCCCCCTCCCCTCATCCTCTTTAAAAGCGCATGATAAATATTTAGAAAAGAAAGAGGGCAGAAAGTGTTTAGTCTTCTCTCTTTTTTTGTTGGGAGCTCAGATCCATTGTGCTCTCTATCGGGGGTAGGGGGGCGATGCTTTTAGGTTTTCACGTGAACGCAGTCCACGGCTTTGCCAACTAAAAATAGAAGGCGGTCCATGCTAGCGTTCCCAGAAGTGCCACCCTAGAGAAGGGAACTTTCAGGAATAGCGTCACAGCAGCTGATAAAGCTGATTCGCTGGGAATGTGACGTCACTCGGGTAGCACAGCTTTAGCAAGGCGGTCCGGGAGGGAAGGGAACGTTCCTTACCTGGGAGCGTTGCCTAGGAAAGTGTGAGGTGTGTGTAGATAACCATAGCAAGGCCGCTAAGGGACACAATTATTAACAGTGGACACAGCCATGGAGTTAAAATATCGCAGACTTGTAGTCAGTTCAGCATACTAGTCTGACAATTAGTTTATAAGCCATAAAACAATGATAATATTTCATGCACAGTGGTTACACTATCAGACTAAGAGCTGGGAGACCCAAGTTAAATTGCCTTTCTGCTGTGAAGTTCACTGCGTGACCTTGGGCCCATTATGTCTCTCAGCCTTACCTACCTCATAAGCTTGTTGTGAGGGTAAAATGGAGGAGAGGAAAACATTGCTCCAGCCCTGAATTCCTTGGAAGAAAGGCAGAATAATAAGGTGGTAGTGGAAAGTGTAGTGAAATCACAGCCGATTTAGGGCAACCCTATAGGGTTTTCAAGGCAAGAGATGTTCAGAGGTGGTTTGCCATCGCCTACATCGGCGTAGTGACCCTGGATTTCTTTGGTGGTCTCCCATCCAAGAACTAACCAGGGCCGATCTTGCTTGACTTGTGAGATCTGACTTACAAGGTACTAAATAAACATAAACAATGCTTGTTGCCTGTTGAGTTATAAGAACATATAGAATTAGAATGGATTGTTATGTGTGATCTAGTTTATTTGTTTTTTACGCTAGGATTCCCCTGGTCCGTTGATGTGTTGTGATGTCAAATTAAATCACAAACCAAGACAAAGAGTCCCTGCTTGAGATCTTCCAGTAGTTCAGGTATAACTGCCAGTGTTCAGTGATTCCAAATATGCATTCTTGCTAGGGAGTAAGAGAAGTTCTACACTGGATTGGAGCAAGATCTACTTATTTCAGAATCCTATGCAAGAAGCTCAGGACCCAGCAGACAATGGTGATCCACTACAAATAAGTCAGTGTTCTATATTTACTCGCCCCAATATGAATGATAGGTAATTCACAATCCCTTAGTGATCCTGCCAGCCCTGCCTCCACAGTGGCTTCTAATACTCCTCCCCCCTCCCCATCCTACACTGGACAGGCAGCTGCATGTCAGATATAGGAGAGGAGATGGGATGCTTACAGCTGCCAGGGATTGCCTTAGCACTGCTGCTGGCCCAGCCTCCCTCATGCCTTTAAATACAATCCCCCCCCCCCCAACACCAGACAGACTGGTGTCTGTCTGGTGTAGGAGCAGGGCCAGGGTATGAATGTTTATGGGGAGATAGTAAAGGACATTTGTCGGAGCCATTTCGATGCGTGCCTCCCTCATGACCCTGAAGAAATGTCCACCACATTACCACTCCCTCACACCAACTCCCCCTCACACCTCTCACCGCTTACTGCCCCCAAGAAAGCTCCTGGCAAACATCAAGCCAGATACACCAACGCTACAAGGAGGAGGCAACTTAGGAATGTGGTGAAGACATTTGCACATAGTACTCCTGCAGTGAACTGAGCTGCACAGGCCAAGTACCAGCAAGATCACCCTGAGGTGCTCAGAACAACACAGTCTCCATATGAGCAAAACAATCCAGGAACACAAGTAGAGGGGCCATCACTTTCGTGGAAGGTAGCAGGAGTCGACTTAACAGACGACTGCTTCTTAAATGGACAGTTCTATGTGGCCTGCTCCAGAGTGAGCTCATCAAGCAGCCTGGTGATCCTAGCACCTGAGGGCAGAACCACCAATTTGGTCTAGAGAGAGGTCCTTCAGTAAAGAAAAAAAAGAGTATGTATGTCTCACTTCATTTCTTACACTACAATCTTCTCTGTTAGAATTCTTACAACAAATGTCACATTTCAAATTTCACATTGTCAGTATTATAACTGGATTTACGGAACTTATACCGTAGCGAAGCATGGGTAGCAGGCTAGTGAGGTATAAGAAAGATAGGATGGGGCCTTCGCTGTAATGCTTTGAGGAAGGAGCAAGCAGTTACCACAACACATATCAACAAGTGTCGTGGTGCCCCTGACCACTGTCTTAGAACATGGCTGCATCAAAGTGGTGAATCCTCTCCCTGCAAATCAGTTACATTTAAAAGAACGTCAGCAGCACATAGAATGATCATAACACAGTTAAAATAATATCACTGTAAATTTGGGGAAATAACTTTTCCTTCCCATCAAAGTTAAGATGGGGCTGCCCTCGAAGACAACCTGGAAACTACCACTGGTCAACAATGTGGCAGCCTAGCTGTTGTCGGCCGGCCACCAGGAACCTATGTTGCCCATTCTGAAACAGCTGCATTGCCATTTTGTTTCCAAAGTGCTGGTTATGATTTTTAAAGCTTTTCATGACCTGGGATTAGGGATGCCAGACCCCCCAGTGGGGGTGAGGGTCTCCCCCTTTCAGGCCCTACGTCCCTGCCACCGGCCAGCTGGCCAGCAGGGGGGAATTACCCCTCCAAAAGGAACACTAAAACATGGCGTGCCAACATGACCTGGAAGTGATGTGAGCACTGGTTTTTGGGCAAAACTCTATGGTAGAAGCTAATTCTACCATCAAGTTTTTGCCCAAACGTCAGAGTGTTGCCCCACAACATCCCCAGCGTGCCTATGTCACTTCAGGGTCATGTAGGCACATCTTGTTAATTTCTGGCATCCCCCCCCCCCGCTTCAACAAATGCACCCCCATCCCCCCCAGCAGCTCCAAGAGACCTGACAACCCTACCTGGGACCCACATATTTGAAGGACCATCTCCTTCCATATGTCCCTGTGCCCAAGGCAGCCATCTGTTGGCTATTCCACCATTTAATGTGGCCCATGTGGCATCAATCAGAACCCAGGCCTTTTCCCATCAGGCCTCTGTGGAATGTGCTCCCAGAATAACTGGGGGGGGGGTGTCCTTGAAAGTCTTCAGAGACGCTGCAAGGCCTACCTGTTTGTCAGGGCTTTGGATATGAATGGCAGGCATCTTTCAAGGGGAGAAGGAGGTGAAAATTTGGGGCTTGCTGTTTTATTTTTGGCTTCAACTGAACATTTTAAACTATTACTGTAAGTCTCCTTGAACCACAAGGAAAGGCGGGATATGTTTTAATAAATAAATAAATAAGAAATTTCTCTTACAAAACTGGCACTCCAATCCTACTTACGTTTACTCAAAAATGTCCTTGTTCTATCTACTACAGTGGGAACATGACTTACTGGGTAAGTGCGCTTAGGACATGATCTCGTCAAGATTAGCACTTTCAAGTTCCATTCGTTTTAATGGGAAAGCTTAGCACAACTAGATTCGATCTTGTGGCTTAGGCATGCCTAACTTTACACAGGATAGGCCTATAAATCTTCCCAGTGAATCCATTGGGCTTTAAAATCCACTGGATATTAATTTTGATTGGATTCTGTCCTCAGTATTATATTTGTTGAACACCTATATAAATATAAAGGGCTTTACTGCTACAAAATGTAACAGATAGAACATATCCAAAATGGTCAGTTAGTTTCTGCTGAATCACTTCAGCATCCTGTGATTCTAATTCAGCCTGACAGTAACATAGCTGCTTTTCTCACTTACTGGGTGACTGCTGTATTGTCAGTGACACTCTAAAAACACATTGAGCGGAGCAATTTCAAAATTGGAAACAATTCCACGTTCTTTTTTTTAATACTCATTTTATTTTTATAAAGACAGACATAACACAGACACACATACATACATAAATGGGGGGATTCCATTATATCATCAATGTACATTTTTAAGTACCTCAAACCATATTAAATGATTTGTTTTCTGTGTTT